ACCCTGGTGGGACACCGAGTAGTGGATTTTTTTTTTATCTTTTGCTCATCTCCTTTCTCCCTACCCTTTTAAAAAATTCCTATTATCTTTTCTTTTCAAGTTGAACTATAGTTGGTTTACAAGGTCTTAATTTCTGGTGTACGGCTTAGTGATTCAGTTACACATACATATATACATGTTCCTATTCATATTCTTTTTCATTATAGGCTGTTACAAGGGATCGAATGCAGTTCCCTGTGGTGTGCAGTAGGACCTTGTTGTTTATCTCTGTTATATGTAGTAGTTAGTAAGTTTCTTTGTACCACCTCATTTTTTCTCTTCCGAGTTTCTTCTCCCCTGCAAATTGCATTCTTTCCACGTAAACTTTTGTACGTTTAGAACTTCCTGTTTGGTTTCCGCTGCTCTCATAAAGAAGAGGAATAGAAAATGCTTCACACGTCTAGCAAATCAATAGTATTTTAATAGCCAGGGCCTCTCTGAGTGTCTGCACAGCAACAGATAGGCCACTAGCTGCCGCCTCTGCTCGCTGCCCCACACTTCCCAATTTGGTGGTTTAGGTACTTTTCTACTTAGGTGGATGATGCCATTTTTGCCAAATTCAGCACGATCATTGGACAATTTCTTGGAGCCCAAAGCCAGCTCCACTGCACTTCTGCTTGGTGAGGCTTGGTGGCCTTGGCGTGGGGCAGGAGTTGTTGATTCATTGGGCCTTAAAATGATGATAAATCTGGAAGTTGGGCACTAGGACTAGGCTGCCTGCATAGAGCCGTTGCGGGGTGTGGGTGGCCCCAACACTTATGGGAAATCTACAAAAAGGGTGCTCCGTAAACTCACATTGGGAGAGGCTCCGGAAGAATGCGGGGCAGCAGGAATGCTGAGGTCCGTGTGAGCTGGCTTCAGCAAGACCTCTGAACACTAGACACAGAACCCGGCAACCTGCAGAGTGCTTCTGCTTCTCAAGACACCCATTTCCTGCTTATCCTTTCATCCTAAAGGTCTAATGTGTTGCATCGTCAGCGTTTTTTGAGACGATTCACCCCCCACAAGACCGTGGCAGAGCCCTTCTGCGGCGATGCACTCCATCAGTCTGATTGTTCAGGTTCCATTCTTGCATCTTTGTGCAATCCTGCATCTATATATTTTTTCAATGATAATAAGATTTTAATTGTAATTCCACCTCCCTTCAGCAGGCTATAAAATGCTCCAAGAGGGCTACCAAAGGCAGCTTTGACACATCTTCCACAGACAGTTGTCTTAGAATAGATGAGCCCAAGTTTCAAATGAAGATTCCAGGGTCAGGAGAGCCTCCCACCTGCGACGGGCTGATTTTTGTCTGAGACAGAAGATCAAGGAATCTAGGAGGGAGCTTTTCAGTTCAGCCACACTTCTTTTGGCCGGTTCCCTCAAAGACTGTGTGGTGTGTTCCACACAAAAAATATAACAGTCTAGTGATAATAACCATTTTCTGTGTAACATCTTTTTTTAATTAAAGAAGTTATATACTTATAATAGATGATATTTAAGTTGGAGTGTGGTCACAGTAAATCTCCAGACCTACACAGGCATATTTGGATTTGAGATAATGGTGTCTTGTCTGTTATCCCTTAACTAAGATAAACCCAGGTCCCAGCTAGAATGTACATCCGTTAAGGCATCTTAAAAACAAACAAACAAACAAAAAAAGCATGCTCTTCATGCTCAAAAGACGGAAAGGGCAATAAGTGGGAAAAAAGCCCCAAAAGAGGTGCATTTAATTCTTCCTAATTTAAATTTAAGTGGTACATCTTTAAGGCCATAACGATACTCCCCGCCCCCCATCGGAAACGCTTCCATCAGTGAATCTCCTTAATGTTGATGCTGGTTGGTGCAGTTCGAAGGAATCGGTATTTAGTCAGAAAATGCTTCAGTAGAATGACCTACCAGACAGGCCCCAAAACAAAGCACAGAGGCATCAAGCCACCACAGACATTTGGTGCTTAGAGTAATAAAAAGACTATAAAATTAGATTAGTTGAGTCTAATTTGGAATTGGTATATTCCCCATGCACCCTCGCTGCTCTTGGCAGGTAAAGCCTTGCGATTTAGCACTGTGTCAGAGTAGAAGGCTGCAACCTCCAGTAAAAGGGAGCCAGGGAGCCAGAGAGACGGGGGAAAGAAGCATTCTGGGAGGTCACAGAGGGCAGAGCAGGGACCTCCAATGATGTACAGGCCTTTAGCTTGAAAGAAATTGTTTCAGTGGCATGATGGTAACAGCTTGTAATGAATTCCATGTCCTAATGTAATGAAATGACTCTCTTCTGCCCCCCCCCTCCAAAAACACAATTAATACTTACTGAGACCTGACAGCCTTAGGAGCGCTCGTCTGTGTGGCTCCCCCAGACAGTCAGGGCAGAGAGGCGAGCAGCGTGGCAGGCAGGCTGGCTCTACACGAGCTCCTGGCGGGGACAAGCAGAGCCGGGTGCTCGGGGGACCGTGGCCAGCTGGCTCCTTGGTGCTGCCCTGTGCAGGCTTCATGCTCTCCCCTTGCTTTCCTGCAGGCAGCTGGACAACCATTGCATTGGCTGCATTGAAGATGGAGCCTTCCGAGCGCTGCGCGATCTGGAGATCCTGTGAGTGCCTTTTGTGATCCCTGCCTCGTGTGCGTGCGCGAGTGTGTCCGGGTGAGGAGGGGAGAAGGGGAGTGTGTGTGCCAGGGGGTCTGTGTGGACACATTTCTGTGTCTTCTGCTGCAGAGCTATTGAAACTGGGAACTGGGGAGATCTCTCCGGCTCACCTTGGCCAAAGTGTTTGTGGGCAGCAAAATGTGGTTTCTCACCTCCCACGGACTAGGGTTCCTGCTAAGTCTCAGTTGAGTCTTTTCTCCCCGAATGCTCCTGCGGTATTTGTTACTGGGTGAAACAGATGGGCTGGAGTGAGACCACCAGCGCCTGCCAGAGCATTCAGGGAGAGTCTGCATGTGGGCTTGCGGAGAGACAGGTTACAGGTCTGGGAGATGAGAAAGGGGTTGCACCAAGGGTTCGGCTGGAATCATCCAGAATCAGAAAGAGACTTTGGCACAGGACCAGGGGGAATGCCAAGCAGCCTGGGAAAGTCCAGTCATTGCCACTGTTCTGGGGATCTCATCTCAGGTTTAAAACCAAAGTTTAAGCAGTAACCTTAAAGTGACGGGGGTGTGGGGGAGGAAGAGAGGTGACGGATTCCTTCCCAGAAGACCAACCTGTGTACCTCGTCTGGGAAAAAGGTGTGGCTACCTTTCTGTGTTCTGGATTTTCTTTTTTTTTTTAACTTTTTTTATTGAGTTATAGTCATTTTACAATGTTGTGTCAATTTCCAGTGTAAAGCATAATTTTCCAGTTATACATGAACATATATTCATTGTCACCTTTTGTTTTCTGTGAGCTACCACAAGATC